CACTCACGCGTGTGTTGAATAGGCTATTGAATTTCATTTCCGAAAGAGGTAGCCAAAATATCACAGTGTTTGGACTTTATAAAATCATCATCAGACTCGCACAGGAGGAGTTTTAAATGGATAAACTAAAACCGGAAAAAGCACAAGGTAAGGAGGTCGTCCAGTTTATTAGCCATCCTGTAGACTAGAAATACACATAATTTCAATCTTAACTCATGTTTATTGCTGATGTTTATTGCTGATATGCGTGTAAGGAAACATCATCATATAAGTTGGTACGATTGTTAGTAAATGTATCATTGCAAGCATGCACTTATTATAGAATCGACCCGAGATGTTGGGCAGTCAAAAATGTCACAGTCACTAGTATTTTGAGTAATTGTAAATTTTTATACTTTATAATCATGTGTAATGACTTAGTTATGCGTAAAAAAACACAAGCGGCGACATTTTAAAATAAACTGTAGCAAGTATGCTACATGATACGCTTGCTTCAGCACGTTTGATAGCGATCTATTTGATTGCGCATGCCCATGAGCAGTTTGAGCCGGCTGAGTTTTAGTCGGAACTATTTTCATCCCATGTTGTTAAATTGCAGAAATGTAGCATGTGCACAACACAGACCTTTTTAGCTCGGGTTGACACGATCGCTATTTGAAGCATTTTCAACTATTTGATTTGTGTGTTTATGGTTACATATACAGTTGAAACAAACACGTTGAACAAAGCCGTTAAGACGATTTTTTAAAATTATTTGTGATTACAGCCCGGAATGTGTCGTCTTTCAGTCTGGATCAAACTGGGCTGGTATGATGGATGCTCATGCATATGATGGATGCTTAATTATACAGATACCTTGTCTTCCAATCAGCTTTAAAATATCATAAAGAAGGGACAATTTCTCTCCAAAAACAAGAAAATGAGTTTTGAAATTCAAATCGTTTCATGATGGAGGATGAAGCTTGATATTAATTGTTCATAGTTGTCAACTTTCAAAACCTACAGTAGCTCATATTTCATTCGGTGTCGGGATTTTCCGATGCGAGAACGCTGTTTTTAGCCAAAGTGGGGAACGCGTTTCCAAGTTTCCTCTGGAACGCGTTCCAACCGCGTTCCGACGCGTTCCAACCGCGTTCCAACCGCGTTCCAACCGCGTTCCCACCGCGTTCCAACCGCGTTCCTACTGCGTTCGGAACGCGTTTGGAACGCGGACGCAGTGTTAGGTTATTTCTGAGCAGTACTGTATCTATCTATCTATCTATCTATCTATCTATCTATCTATCTATCTATCTATCTACATATATATATATATATATATATATATATATATATATATATATATATATATATATATATATATATATATATATATATATATATATATATATATATATATATATATATATATATATATATATATATATATATATAGATAGATATATATATATATATATATATATAGATAGATAGATAGATATATATATGTATATATCGTTGAACAGATTGCGTTTGTACAAAGGACCTGGGAATGCGTTCTGGTAACATCCAGGCCTCGCAAGTCACAGCTTCGTCGGAATGGGATTCCAGTCATGGCCCAAACAACGCTAGATTGTTCTCTAAAGCACGAAATGGAGGAAAAGGGGCTTGGTCTTCAAAAAGGAATGATCTTAACCAATGGTTACAGATTGATTTCAAACGACAAACTGTTGTGGTTGGTATCAGCACTCAGGGAAGAGAAGATTGCTGCTCACAGTGGGTAAAAAACTACACGTTGTATTACAGCATCAATGGGGTATCATTTCTCCCATACAAATATCATGGCCAAGTCAAGGTGGGTACATTTGGCACAGTGCCTAATGCCTTTTATCTATGCGATCAGGGTTATATTTATGCATTCCATTGTCAATTTGACTTATTCCTGTGTGAAAGGATCTTTCTAGTTTGAATTTACCAACACCGCAGGTTATACCAAAGGATGCCGCAAAAAAGTTACCCTTTTTTGACTCATTGTATTTAAAAAAAACCCTGAAAAATCCATATTATACAAATAAAATTTATTGATGGTAGTTATGTCTACAGTAACTTAAATTTTGATGTATGCCATGCACATTCCTATGAAATATTGGCCGGGATATAGGCGTTTATACTCAAGGTTGCGTTTTTGGAATAAGCCAAAAATGATCAAAAATGGTCTATTAATTTGCATTATGGTAATAAAATGGCAATTTTTTCTTCCTCCAGAAATGCTACCTTGAGATTAAACGCTAATATCCTATAGAAATGTTTACGGCGTACATCAATATTTAATTAGTTTGGATCCTAGTGCTTCAATGAACTTTATTTGAATAAGATAACTTCTCTAGTTTTTTAATTACAATGAGTCGAAGAGAGGAACATTTTTTGCGCCATCCGTTAAGTATGAGGAAATTGGAGTATCCGATAATAAACAAGGGATAACCCTTAGATTTTCTAAGCATCTCTAAAGAGAGCAATTTCGAAACGATTAATTATTCAATATTTATGTGATATCTTTGAAGTAACTTTTAAGCGACTACTTCAATTGTGTTTTCAAAAAATATCGAGTTTTCTTATCATCAGTGATATTTAATCGCATCGTTTTAACAGCGAATGTATAGAAATGATAGACGGTTCGATCTTACTTTAGGTATTCAAAGGAAACACAGATAAACATTCTGTAGTTCACAATCCTATTTCACCCGCCATTGTCGCTCGATATATCAGACTTGCACCAAAGTCGTGGAATGAACACATCTCTCTTCGTATTGAATTTTATGGATGTTGAACAATATTCCCAAAAATCTGAAGTGAGTATCATTAGTAATATAAATTTATATCGATTTTCCCATAGTTATTTAGAATTAACAATTGTCCTTGTTAGGAAGGCAGTAGGATTTGAAAAAGTTTTGAACGAAATCTAATACATGTGGTGAAAAGGAGCTGAAGCAACTGAATGACTTAGTGAAGCATCGGATTGCTATTTGATGAAGGCTACATGTGCATATGTTCTCTTTGACCAATTTCCATAAGGCTAAACAACAACATACAACATAATGAACGTTTGCGCATCTTCCAAGCCACCTTTATTTCTCAACCAACGACGACTCTTTTAATGTTTTACATCATAAAATTTCGTATAATGTTCACATTGAAATTTTCATGACAACGCGTGTATTAACAGAAATAAGCACAAACGACTCCAAACATTTAATGACACTAGTATTTATACTGTAATTACAAACATGCAAATCTACTGAATATATTATTATAATACTGAATATATTACAATTTCTCTTTTTTCTCGTTTTTTATAATAGATAGATAGATAGATAGATAGATAGATAGATAGATAGATAGATAGATAGATAGATAGATAGATAGATAGATAGATAGATAGATAGTAGTTCTTTATTTCCTCCAATCACTGAAGATTCATGCATCATACATGTTTATGATAAAAAATATACTAAAGCATGATAAAATTAATTTATATATTGTTTGTAAAAATTATTTATCTAAAGTAGCTAATTGTTAGTTATATAAGCAAATCTAAAATTTATTTAGGACACGTTGTTCCTTTTCACAAATGCTCCCTAATGTGGAGGAGGAGTCTCATTATAGAGTTTGCCACATTCAGACAGAATTTATCTTGCATCTCTTGAGGCAAATACTGTACATTTGGGATTTTTGCACCAATTAAATGTTCATAAAGGTCTTCATCATCCTGAAGCGCATTTAAGAATGCAACGTTCTCCAGTGGTAATATATCATATAGCGTGTCCCACATTTCGTTTCTTGGTCTATTAAGTACACAACACTCCATAATTAAATGCTTTTTATGTCTACGATGTCTTTGTAGCAAAGTTGGCAGGTGTAACTATCAGGAGTTTCTTGGACACACTTCATAAAAATGTCTGCTACATTACCACAAACAATATTAACGAGGTTCGCCACAGCAATTCTGTTAAAGGGGTTACGCTTTGCGGTTTCCCATAGAGTAAGGGGCATTATATTTTGGTGAATGTTTTTGTAGTGACAAAGTTCAGGTTTGTCGTTCATTCCTAATTTCCATTTAGACAATTGATGTCCACCAATTTTGTCTAATACTATTTTGCGCCATTCTGCTTTCCTAGGAAAGTATTGCTCGTTAATATATGTTTCAAGAAATTCTTGAAGATTGTACTTTTGTAGTAAACGCATCACGTCTGGTATAAACCCCATAACTCTCTCCTCGCCTTGTCTGTACCTGAAGGAGAACAACCGGTTGGTGAACACTTGCTTCGTTTTTGTGTCCGGACCTAGCATACACAATCTACCAAAATAGATTAACTTTGCCTTTGTCAATATAGGCTTCCATTTCCCAAAATCCGATGCTACCGAGGGCTGCTTCCGTACGCGTATTTGGGCCCAATCCTTGAATAATTTTGGAAGCGTATCGTTGTGCGCGTTCTAGATTGTTAAGTTCTGTAGTACCTAATGTATTCCATAGCTCGCAACCGTACAAACATGTGGGAATCCCATT